AAATTCCAAGAAAGCAAAATTCTTCTCCATATTTATTTGCACGGCAATTATGGGGTTGCCTTCCGCTTGAATCAAACCTTGAGCACGCATCTGTTTATTAAAGAATTCCATCATATTCTCCTCTGTTGCTGTGAACGGTATGTTACCAACGTATAATCGGCGTGCTTGTCTGCAAACAGCACTGCCGGCGAACGGAACATTAGTAGTGAGTGTTAGAGGAGCATTCGGAGCATGAACTGGCATTGGTACTTGTCCTGCAGCGTATACATTGACCGGTATTTGACCTGATGCTTGAAGGGCTTTGTACTGTGCCGGAGTCACATGCTCAAACCCGGGGGGCGGAACATCCCAATACTTATATACTAACGTAGGACTTGAAGCTGAACGATGACGTGAATGATGTCTCCTAGATTTACGTTCTCGACTGTGGTCTCGATGTCGATCTCGACTATGACGTCGACGATCACGACTACGACTGCGCGACTTCCTTCGCCCACGTTTTTTATCCCGAATTCGATCGTCATTTCCAGAGTCGTATTTAGTTTGGGGCGATGATACTCGCTTTTCGGGGCGAGGAATTGCTTGGTAGTCTTCCTCATCTCTTATGTGATCATATGAAAATTGCCCATATTCCCCATTACCCATCGCGGTAGACTGAGCAGCAGACCCGTAACCAGTCTCCATGTTATTGTACTCCATTGATGACCCGTAATCTTGGCTGTAGTAATCTGCCATTTGTGTATAAACGCCTGATACCTAAAAACATTTGAAAGCATTCTAAAATGAAAAACAGTGCAAACAAGAGTAAATTTCTTCAAACAAACGTTGCTAACAAGAACAAGAGTAAAATTATCAGTAAAAACAATATCTGGAAAATAATGAGGACCACATACCTTATGAAGCTAACTACCGCCCAATGGAGATGACATGTCAAGTAATTTAAAACAAAGAATTCATGTAATGAATCATTTGAACTGATGGATCGAAATTTATAAGTAATAATTTATGCTTGTTGTTCGACAAATTGGAATCATGCTTTCTAAAGCAGAAGCTGTCACATCCTACAATAACTCTACGACATGCTGGTATACACTAATTATTGTAGTTGTTTTTTGGTCATACTCTGGAATAATGTGCACGAAGAATATGAATTTTAGGTTTATTTGGCTTTCTAAAAGCATATACAATGAAAAATGAGTCTGTTGATAGAAGAGAAGGGAAGAGTATGCATCATGGACAGTGACGGTTGTGTGCAATATATTTGACCCATTTGTTCATTCAGAGTGTCTCTCGAAAGACAATACGATAATGGAATTCTTTAAAAAAAGCTCTTGGTTTTGTTTGGCTCTTATTATGAAGTTGGTAGACTATGAATGAAATTAACGAATGGAAATGAAATACCTCAGGCACCTCTGTAATGAGCATAGCTGACTGACCAGATTTGGGTGCGACATATTTCTCATAACTATCTTCGCTCTAGCAGACCACTCGTGCTACTCACTACTGAACTAACTGTGTGAGGAGATCAATTAAGGATAGAACACGAAAGAGCTCTTACAAAAATTTTGTGAGAGATTTTTTTCGGTTAGAATCAGTATGTCGTGTTATTGCCTACCGTAGGTAAGAATGGTGGTAACATGCACTGGATCTTTAAAGTTAATCATCGACATGTCCTTTACTTCCGTAGAGATTGGTGATGATTGCTGAAGGAGACGCTCCACGATCTCTCCTCCAACTACCAACTGATGTTCTGTTCTTTAAATGAAAAAAGCGATCTGAATTACTTCTCTTCGTAACTTATATTGCCATCCTGATAAGTAGGAACATCCTAGGGAGTGGACGGTTATAAATTTCTATCCAAAAACGTTTGAACATTTTAAAGTTTGATCCGCATAATATAGATTACCTCCAAGCTATATAGAAGTACTTAGTAAATTCTGGCTCTCCTATCTTCAAATCATGAGAGCTATATGGTACTGAACAGAACATCTCAACAGGATCTAAAAATAGCTCACTCATGAAATTTCCTACCTCAGAGATCTTCTTAATGATCTTAAATTGTTAAAGTGTTTAAACCTCACAGACTGGCTCTCACAGATTTATGTGAGATTTTGTTCGGAACAAAATTTTATCTGTCTGCCGTCTCGACAAGTGGTCCTTCTGAGGCCTGTAGCGGTAAATAAATCCCCAGAATCAATAGCTTTGTAAGTCTTCGATGTTTGATGCTGAACACATTAGTTTTACCGGATTCACCTAGCTGAAGTCAGTTGGTCATGCATCCGAACTTGATCACGAGTGGGTACGCCGTGCATCACTTCTCCTGCAACCGCTAGTCGTCCTAGATTGATCACTTATTGATATATCGATATTCTATCAAATATATCTTCGAACCTCTTCGCTCCTGACTTCTGATTTCACTAGGTTTGCATATTTCGATCATCAAGGGTTTTACTGGCTAAGGTGTTCTCAGGCTCAGAATACTTTTAGAATTTTCAGTCCCATTGATTTTACTTCGATTTGATCAAATCGTGTTGTCGAAGAGATGTACATGCAGGTCACTCTCGTGTACAATTATTGGCTTTATCCAGTTTAGAGAATAACGGAGTATAGCAAGTCAAATACGGGAATTAATTTGAGATACCAATACTTCATACACTAATCGACCCAAGCAGATAATAAGCGAAATGAAACGAAGAAGCAGGTCGAAGAAGAAAAACACAATAAATAACCTATACTGCTGATTACAAGCGTCAATGTAGCTTGAAGTAGATAATGCACAGTTTGGCAGACACCGAGATTGGATAATATAATAAGCGACAGACAAGCACAAAAAAGTATCCACAAGGCACATGAGCGTACAAATACAAGGACATAAAAATAAGACCTGTGAACTGAAGGTCACAACTTATTGTGAAGGAATAGTTTTTATAAAGGTAAAATTGGTTCAATAGTCACATGCTGTTTAATTTATTAAAATGAATCATATGAGTGTGTATTAGTACTAGACATTACAGCCTACTGGGAATTTCATAAATTTACCATTACTGGGTACAGAGCTACTGGTGTATAACTAACTGCACCTTCCCTATACTCTTCTTTTATTTGTGAGCCGGGAAAATTGTTACGCCTACAATTCTTCGAAAACGGAGAGTCTATTTAGTCATACTTATGGTTTCTCACAGGAATTCATACACAGAGTTTCACATTATTATATATGAGACTTTCTAGACCAATTATTAAACTAACGATGCCCATACTGATGTTCGATTTGAGGTTATAAATTGTTTGGATTTTCAACCTAATCCCAAAATAGCAGACACGTCATGATGTGACTACCTAACCTGTAAGATCTTACGAGGAAGTCACACCATTGCCCACATTGACTCGTTCTACCTGACAATCAGTAATATGACGTCTGACACTTCTAAAGCAAATGTTTGTGCTGGGAAGAGATTAATATACTTGATACGAAGAGGAAGGGGTTGAAGATGGCACAGGTATTCAGTGTTTGACAACGCCTCTACCAGTAACACCTAATATGATTTGTACCCACCGAGAGAAATCAAAAGACAGAGTCGAGGAGATCGGAAGAGTGTATTTGGCGATAACCAAAATATCGGAATTCGCTGATCTAATCTGGCTAGCGATTGCGGTTGATGTTGAGCACGGCGTTACCACACGTGATCTGGTGCGGATGCCTGACCGAGCGCCTTCAGCTAGATGAGTCCACTAAAACATATGGTCAGCATCCAATGTCGAAAACTTACAGGGTTATTTATTTTGGGGATTTATTTACCGCTACAGATCACTCCCCCCCTAGTGGGTTAGTGATGACCCTAAGACGTGGCCAGCCAGAAGTTTAAACGCAGCGAGTTTGTCGTTGGTAAACACTCTTCTGATAGTTTGCTAGGATTAGCAGCGTCTGGTCGTCTTTCCTTACTATATAGGACCGAGGTACAACATAGTAAAAAAAGAAAGTGTACAATGGAAATTTCAGTTCCTCATAAACGTCATGTTTCTTTTCCAGTCGTCCTGGAAAAGAAAAAAGAAAATGTAAGTGCATGTCGAAATACACTCGTATGTGCGTAAAAATACAATGTCGGCGAAAAAAAGGAATATAAACTAATTTACACGTAATATCGTTAAAAAAATTATAATGTTTTTTTGTTTTTTTTAGAATAAAAAATAAAAATATATAAGCAGATTAAAATTGTTTTTTTAGGGCTTATCCAAGCAATGATATGGGAGTGCAATATTTGTACACTTATAGTCAGCACAAGTCGGGCAGCAACAACACGTATAGCCAGAGACTTCGGTTCGGTCAATGTACACATTCTCGCTCGGAAAAATCAGTCCGCAGTACAAACCCAAATCGAGTATTCGGAAAAAAGTATAACTATTTAGATAGCTCTTAATTTCTTGGGTTATCACAAGAACCCACCCAGCCTTACACTCAACTTTTCTGGAAGCAAAGACTCGAACAAACCTCTTAATCTCAATAATAAGCACACGTAGTTAGGTTGCTTAGCCTCTTGCGTGTTAAGCAACAGCGACGGCACCGACTTCACGAGACGAGACCAAAACTAATATTGGATGAACTTAATTTTCCACATTTATACCGTTGGTTCTAAATCAAGAAAGCGTGTGATAAATCAATAACCCCAGGGACTGATTGGTGTCAAAATATTGCATTAAACTAGTATTTTAGTACCGACTTCCCAGAGTCGTTACGCAAAACCCTATACAGACGGAATTGCACGCTACGTAAAGAAAATTTGGCAAGACTAAGGTTTTTGTGAACACAATTACAGATCTGAAGAGTAGGTAAGAATAAAAAAACTAGTGTACTTAATGAGCGAGCATTCGTTGTAGTACAAACTTAATACCCAAAGTACGCACGACTATCCCGGTAAAAACAACACAAATATCGTAAAATATCAATGATTAACCTAATAAAATCATTAAAATTGTATTATATATACATCTTAAAACAGTCAGACTCAAAACTCCCTGCGATGGTAATTATCAGGACTGAAGAAAGACGTCACCACAAGTCTTTGGTTGAATTTTCTTCCTGTTAGAGCAGTGGCAGCTTTTTGACAGTCGATCAGACTTGCGAATTCAACATATATTTTTCCAACTCCTGGAACTTCAACCCCGGGGATCGGTCGAGGGATTTCTAGACTGCGAACAACACCATATTTACTACATTCTGCACGAACATCTTCAACTATATCTTCGTACTCTTCATCATCTTCTAGTTCCGAAGTTTCAATCATATTCATCAAACATAGTACTTCGGTAGGCGGCCCACCACTACGAATTGTTATATTACCTGAACCGGTCGTGTTCTGGACAGTACCATCTTCCAACCCTGGTAACGATAGCAAAGTTTGGGGAAGAACACCTGTAGTGTGCTTTGCTCCTACACTTGCTCGTTGTACAATGAGTTTTTTATCACCCAATTGCATGCCATTCAAACCAGCGCACGCATGGTCTGTAACGTTTGCGTCGACATATTCGCAAAAGGCATAGCCTTTCGATAAGCCGGTAGAACCATCTTTAACAAGATTAAATCCTTTCAAGGGGCCAAAGCTTAGAAGTAATTCCTTCACTTGGTCTTCATTTAAATAGTTGGGAAGACCACCCACGAATATTTTATGTGGAGAATCTTGGACAACCGTACTAACAACACCCGGAACAATGACTGAAGGCTGTTCCGAAACACCTGGTAGAGGAGCATAATCACGTGGTCGGCGAAGCTTCAAAGTAAGATTGAGATAATATAAAATATCTAGTAGTGTCTTGCGTGCAGTAGTCGTTTAAATGTTCTGGAAATCTTACTCTTCTTCCAGATCGAGTCGTTTTAAGTTTATTTTCAGATACATTCGGAGTATCATCGCTAGTGTTGGTTGTCGGTTGAGGAATTATGAGTGGAGTCGTGTCGTTCGATTGTACCGAATAAAATCGACGTAGATAGGATTTCCTTCTAAATACGCTGCTTTGAGGCGATCGATGCTGATGCTATCGTTGGTTCCGTTCTTATCGACTATATAGTACTTAGATTCACGTTGAAGAACTTTGAAAGGTCCTTCGTATGCTGATTCGAATGGTCGTCGATGCGAGTCTCGACGAACGAAAACGTGTGTACTATATCGTAAGTCAGGTTGAACGAAAACATCAGTTGATTGAGGTCGAGTGGAAGCAGGTTTAACTGAACGCATTGCGTTTGTAAGCCTGTTCGTGTAGGAGGTTAGATCCATGTTCATCGAAGAGCACGAAGGATCCACGAATTCTCCTGGAAGTCGAAGTGTCGTTCCATAAACGAGTTGAGCCGCAGTGTATCCAATGTCAGCTTTCACTGCATTGCGGATACCTAGTAAGACGAGTGGAAGAGCGTCGGTCCACTGTGAAACGTTTGCAGCTGATAGCGAAGCTTTTAGTTGTCGGTGAAAACGTTCTACCAACCCGTTTGCTTGTGTGTGGTAGGCGGTCGTTCGGAAGCGAGTGATTCCTAAAAGTGTGGTCAGACGACGGAAAAGTTCAGATTCAAACTGACGTCCGCGGTCTGTAGTGATGGTTGAAGGGCAGCCGAAGTTTGCTACCCATCGTTCGACGAAGGCACGAACCACTGTTTCAGCAGTGATGTCCTTGATAGGTACTGCTTCTGGCCATCGAGTGAAACGGTCTACGCAGGTTAAGAGGTAAGAGTATCCATTTGAATCTGGTAAAGGTCCTACCAAATCCAGATGAACATGGTCGAAACGAGCATCGGGAGTTTTAAACGAGCCTAAGGGACATTTATTGTGTCTGATAACCTTAGATTTTTGGCAGCTTACACAGGAGCGTGCCCACTCCCTCACGTCTTTATTCATGCCAGGCCAGCAAAACCGTTCTGCTATAAGCTTGATGGTTGCACGAACACCTGGATGAGAAAGTTTGTGCAATGCATTGAAGACATTGCGTCGATAATGTTTCGGCACGATTGGGCGATCCCTACCTGTAGATGTGTCACAAAGTAAGGTTTCCTTACCTGTTCCCATCTGTTTGATGCGTAGTTTAAGTGTTGTGGACGATAACTCGTGCTGAAGATCAGTGTCTTCTTTTTGAAGCTCGGCGAGTTTAAGAAGGTCGATTCCTTGGAAACTGTTCAAGGAAGTTATGCGAGATAAGGCGTCTGCAACTACATTGTTTGCTCCAGAAATATGTTGAATATCTGAAGTAAACTGTGAAATGTAGTCCAGTTGTCAAGACTCACGGGGAGAGTACTTGTCAGAAGGAGAGCTTAACGAGAAAGTGAGTGGTTTATGGTCGGTGAAAAGAGTGAATTCACGGCCTTCGATGTAGTGTTGAAAATCCCGTACAGCACAATACATAGCTAGGATTTTCCTACCGAATGTGCTGTACCTCGATTCGTTGTCTAGCAATCGTCTAGAGAAAAATGCCAAGGGTTGCCAGGAGTTGTTAACCCATTGTTGTAAGACTCCACCGATTGCCGAGTCGGATGCGTCTACTGCGATACTAATGGGTGCTTCGGTGTCCTGATGTGCGAGCATTGTTGCTTTAGCGATCAGTTCCTTAACTATGGAGAATGCTTTTCGTGCGGCGTCGTCCAAATTAATGGATTTCGCATTTCCACGGTGTTGGTCGATTAGCGGTTTCATGAGTAATGCGCATTTCGGTATGAAGCGTCTATAGAAACTTACCAGGCCGTTAAACGTGCGTAATTGCTTGACGGTGGTCGGCTCTGGGTAATCCAGAATGGCCGCCACTTTGGTCCTAAGAGGTCGAATGCCTTGAGCATCGATAGTGTGTCCTAGGAAGTCTAACTAGTCGGTCCCGATTTGGCATTTCTGAACGTTGACAGTGGTGCCATGTTTTTGTAATCGTTCGAAAACAAGATCCAGATGCTTGAGATGTGTTTCTCTGTCCGGACTTGCGATTAGGCAGTCGTCAACATACGCGTGTACGAAGTTGAGACCTCGAAAAACGTCGTCTATGAATCTTTGGAATGTTTGAGCAGCGTTCCTTAGACCGAAAGGCATTCGCAAAAATTCATAGAGTCCGAAGGGAGTTATGATAGCTGTTTTCGGTATGTCGTCAGTAGCCATAGGGATTTGGTTATACGCTTTAACCAAGTCGATTTTCGAAAAGACAGTTGTACCTTTCAAGGTAGCTGTCAAATCGTGAATATGAGGCAACGGGTAACGATCGGGAATGGTTTTTGCATTCAATCGCCGATAGTCACCTGTTGGACGCCAATCGTTGCTGTCCTTTTTAGGGACCATGTGCAACGGAGATGCATATGGGCTACTTGACGGTCGTATGATTCCTAAGTCTATCATGTGATCGAATTCGTTTTTCGCTAACCTTAGCTTTTCAGGAGCTAGTCGTCGTGCCTTAGAGAATACAGGTGGTCCTGTAGTCGTGATGTGATGTGTAACGTTGCTGGTTACACACGGTAGTTTCCGTTGAGTTTGTTGTATCCCAGGGTACTTATCGAGTAGTGGCTGATAGAGTGGGTCTATCATATGCCTAATTGTGACTGGCGATAATTTGCAACCAGAGAAGGAAGTTACGCAAACGGATAAATTAGTGTTTCCGTCTACTAGCCTCCGTTTGCGCGTATCAATGATCAGATTGTGGTGTTGTAGAAGGTCCATACCAATGATTGGCATAGAAACATCTGCAACAACGAAGATCCAGTGTATGGGTTTGCGTAAACCCACGTTAAGGTAAACGTACCTTGTAGAAGCCCATTAATCTGACTCCAATTTATGGATGTACGAATGTTTGTTATCGCTGATTCTCGTATATCATCGTCGACTTAGATCGCGTTATCCAATAACGGAATTAAATAAGTCGAATAACGAGAATTGATTTGAAAATACATATATTTCGTACATGAAGCGAATGAAACAGAGCCAAGCAAAAATGGCACGCATGGAAGATGGCTGGGAAGCCAACTCCATTTTAGTCAAGAGTTAATTAATATTTATAGGCAGACAAAATAAACTACAGACATGTGATGAATCATGGGACATGAAGTGTACACACATATAAGCTCATATAAAAACAGTCAAGACTGACAAGCGAATAATTGACAAGGTCAAAATATGACTGAAGTAGAATGAATAAAACGGAATGTCCGAAAACTAGAATATAAGATATATGGGCTTAAAATAATGACTGACACTACATAGCCCCCACGTAGAAAATAGCACATTTAAAAAATGTCTGTTTTCGAAAATAACACCGAAGTGATATGAAGCTAACGTTAACAATAAGTAGCCAAAAAAAATTGTACAACACTCGATAAATTACAGCAGTGTCACATGAGGGGTGACTGTATTATATGAAAATGTCATGCTTATGCAAAAATACATGAATATCGCAAAGGCTCGGACAAAAATGAAAATGTTAGCATGTGAATATGAGCAAATTAATGAGCGTACAAAAAAATTAACATGTACTAATGCTATGACTGTCTGAACGATAAAATATCACGTTTGTATGAGTGATTCAAATTATCGTGAAAATAGTAACAAATTGTTTGTAGGTAAAACAGCGAAATAAATCGTCAAAATGGCTAGAGTAGAATGTGACAGAAATTGGTCTGTGATGCTGACAAAATAGTGAAATATGCGAAATATATGTTCTGTTGAGCCGCAGCAGAATAAATAGCATAGACTAGCGATGAGTGAATTCGAATTTAAATGCGAAACTCTCGTTCGTAGAATGATAATAGTTAAGTCGTGAAATAATAACTGCATCGACGGGTGATATTCGTTGCTGTACTGCAATTGATAATAATCATAAAATATGAAGTCAGTGAACGTTGTCGTCTGCGTTATGACAGATGCATTGAGTTATCGTTAAATATGTATTAGTAGAATGACCAGAGGAACATAATAGTGACTGAGTAGATAAGGTACGTAGAGTCGAATTCCTTTTTGGTCATGAAGCCTAGAGTGGTTTGTGTAGTTTGAGGGAGATGCGGTCGACCTCGTTTGTTACAAAACCGTACCAAGGCATGACAAAAATACCAATACATATGGTTAGCGATTGCGACGTATGAGACTGACTTGGATGTGACAAACAAGAGTGTATCTTTGAGAGGCTAGCTCTAAACTCTATGTTCTGATATACCGAGCGATGGGTATAGAATAAAATTTGCATTACTCGAATAGCGTTTTCGCGTGATAAGTGATGCAGCATGTAGTTATGCACGTGGACGAATAGATAAAATGAGCGTAATGGTTACTAATCAGCTAGTCAGAAGCATCCACAGACATAATAGGAGGCGATTTCGAAATGAAAAATGTATGTTGTGATAACATAAATTGCTGACCTCGACTAAGTGAATGAATGCAATATTAGATCAAATGACATGAAAAAAAATTGGAACGAACTCACTTAAAGCAGGAAAATTTTACGTTTTTGAATAGTAAAAATATCCCAATGAGTTCTC